CTACGCTCGTATAACAATGTAATAATATAATGCAGTTATGTTTGTTGCCACTGACAATCTTCTAGCAGACGCCGACGCCGCCGCCGCCGCCGAATGGTTAAGGAAAAGTTTTTTTGGCGCGAAGTTTGTTCGGGACTTGTTTTTCGGAACTTTTTTTTTTTATTTCCATTTCTCTTTACCAAAACTTTTACCGGTAGTTAATATCTACGATGGCGGTGGTGGACGGGAGGGGGTAAAAAGTGAACTTTGGAATTACTTTTGATGACGCAGATTATTGGATCGACCATTTAATCCACCGAATAAATATTTCCGTTATACTCCGCGCATGTATTGCCGTTCTTTCGTTGTTTGTTCGATTTGTCTTCCCACTATGTATATTTGTTTCCTCGTTCGATATATATATACATATTATAGTAATAATAATAATAATGATAATAAAAAAAAAACATATTACTGAGTTGAAAAACACGATGGAAAAATGTAAATTGAATTACAAAAGTTATTATAGCGATCTGCCTTTTACTTAACAACACGAGTTACGCGAAAAAAAACCAAATATCGTAGAATTAAATTAATACAAGTACTTCATTTTAACCGTATTGATTTTGTTATTCTCTTAAGACCTAAAATATACTGACTTTAAGATTTTATCTTGTATTTAATATTTTAAAAATGCTTATGATTTGAATTTAAAGTATTTTTTATTTTCATAACTTTGTTGCACTAGATATTTTTTTCAAATATAAGGTAACGGTAATAGGTATAATTCCTTGACTTAAAATCAAATACTAATCAATTCTTTTAAAATTAATTCACATTATGTTATATCATAGATTCTAATTATAAAGAATTTGTCTCATAATGATATTTGTCATTTGCAGTGTTTGCTTTTATGTGGACGTTTGTTTCTAAAGATGGAGTAATTTAAAAGTTTTAATTAGGTAGTTAGGTATTTTTATTGATGATCAAATATTGTCGATACTTTTAAAAGGTCATATTTTGATTTTCTTAGTAGTTTTCTCAAGCGTAATGTTGTAGAAATAAGGATGGTTGAATGAACATTTAACGCAGTTATAAATTATATTATTATAATCCATCTTCACGAAAAATAATTTTTCGAATTTCACGAACTATTATTGCTTTTAAAATTATAAATTAATTTAACATTTTCACAATACACTAAGATATCCCAAGCTGAGGTGATTGAAGCGCCATAATGTCAAATACCCGATCGAGCGTAGTGTCATAGTACCTATAAATATTAAATATAGTATTTAATATAGTGTATGTATATCAAATAATACATGTTGAAAGTATAGTTACAGAATTCTCTCAGTTTTTTCTTTTATAAACCCTGATAAGTATATTTTGTCACACAGATATTCTAGGAAACGTAAACATCCACTTTTCATTTATTATACAATAGGGCAATGACATATTCCATGAATCGTAATAGACATGTCTTAAATTTCTTCACCACACTTCATAAAGCTGAATATTAAAGTTTAACTAAAATCTGTAGCACGCGCCTGTAAATCTGTAATGGAATAATATTGAATATAATCACAAAACTACCGATACCTATATTAAAATATTTATCATGGATTCAAATGGTTCAATATTTTGGTTTAAATTTTAATAAACATAGTATAAAAATTGATATCATTGTCTTATGATTATTTATTCATACAACATATTATATATTTATATAATATATATTATCTTAGTATCTAGTAGTTATATCTTAGTAGTTTTGTACTCTTATAGGTAATAATTAAGCAGAACTTATAAGACCAAGTGGAAGTTAAACTATAAAATACCCAATAATTATCAAATCAACAGTTTTAATCTCATATATATTAGGTAGGTAGTTAAAATGTACCTACCTAATTATTTTGAAAAGAAAATTGTTGTCAACTACTAAATGTAAAAATAATAATGTTTATTGGGGGACGGAGTGGCCGAGCAGACCCGCACCAACGCCGGTTCAAAACCTCGGCCATTTTTCTTAGAGCAAGTCACAGAGTCCGGAGAGAAGTGCCGCACTGCCGCCATCCCCCACCTACGGATGCCCAATAAAAAATCTGCCGAACTATAACAAACACACGTGTTTAACCCACAGAACACTCTATCGCAGTTGAAAACCACCCAATTGCCTAAGTTGCCGTGGGTTAATTAATAAAAAAAATAATGTTTATTGTATATTTGTCTTGGTGCATTATATTTAACTAAATCAACTCTATACTTATTATATACATTACTCTTTAAATCATCATAATTAGTACCTATATATCATATTTTATGTTGTATTAGAAGTTACAAATAATATTTTAAATCATGACATTGTATATTTTTCGTACTGTAAAAAGTAAAAAAATAATAAATTGGTACCTAGGTACCTATATCTTTTTAAAAAAAAAAAGTTATATCGCCACATGTCTCGTGTCTCGATAAGGAAAAATACAAACATTTTACACGTTTTGAACATTTCACTATACCTACCTATTTGAAACGATGTATTTTCCCTTCAAGTGTCTTTTACATATTTTTATTGTATACACACACACACACACACAAGCTTGCTCGCGCGTGCGACAAAAATATGTTTAGATCACATTTGAGCTGCTTTAGAAAAATAAAAAATAAACTTCTACTCCTCCCACACGAATATTCATTCTGAAACTTTCTTGTGCTACTTCCGTATCGCCCAGACGTACTACCACGTGGAACAATATCATAATATATGCGTAAAAACTTTGCCTCGACACGACGACAATGGAATTACCCGAAAACCTTTCAGTCGACTTGTACATAAAAACCGACTAACGGAACAGCTTAGGGTTGATGGGATGGTAGAGGGGGTATACCGTTCGATATGAAAATAAAATGGAAATAACTTTATGGGTACACGGAGGAAATGGAAGTTGAGCACAAAAAAAAAATGAATAAGAATCAAACATGTATTCGCGAAAGAACATTATTTTACCACTGCTATTTACTTTATGCTCAAAAATATGTTTCACCCTTCTGGATGAATGATTAGGATAAACTATTTGAAGCATTCGAAAGAAATGTTGTTTTTATTTAACATTTAGGTAAACATATTTTCAAGTCGTAAAAGTTACACAGAGTTTAAAATTGTGTACATTTACGTATACTGTGTTGTAAATCTACAAGCTACAATTGGAAACTTTAAACTCAAAATAAATTTTTTGTTCCCAAATTAAATTTAAAATATAATTTATTGTTCAAATTTAGTACACAAATGTTAAAAGTCAAGTATTAATTTGAATAATGTTTTTAATATATTATTACACCACTTTGCTACAGTAGATTTTTTTTTAAGTAAAAATATATCTATTTCATTATTGCAATCAAGTAATAATAATGAACGTTTTGAAATTATACATTTATTAATAATAAAATTATAAAATATTAATTAAAATACTTACTTATTTATACATTAGTAAAACTAATTTTACTTTTCGAAAAGCATATAGGATTTCATTAATTTTAGGATAAATAGTATGATATATAATTGCACGAACCTAAAAGAAAAAATAAGATGTGAAATAAATTCATGAAATTATCCAATAATAGGTTATTAATTAAATGTACAGGATTAAGTTTATAAAATAAATAATTTAATCTTAAAATAACTCAGACAATGTGTCCTTTGTCGGGCTTTGTCGCTGTGTATTACAAAGGTAATTGGACTTTTCCTCTAAGTGGGATCTAGTAAGTTGGTACCTCGTAAACACAAACTCCATTGAACTATAAAACAAATACAATAATAACAATTAAAGTCAGACTCTGGTGAGTTAAAACCGTGAAAGATTATATTATTTGGAGTATTTTTTACTATTTTATGGTATTTATATTCAATAAATTAATAATTAAGATTTTATTATATAATTATTTTTATAATTCAGGTACCTAATTCATGTTCGAAGCTTAATAATTTCTGTTAATGTCTAGCGTGGTTTTCAATAAGTTATGTTAATTGCCCTATTTTCTAGAGTGCATCCAATGGTTTTTATTGAAAAGACAATCTCCATAGAAATGACAATTGTATATATCACATTCCAACAATAAAAAAATACTCCAAACCATTTATATTAGTTTTAATGTTTTATAATATGAAAATTATCGACTTTTTATATTATGTATAATTTAATTAATTTATAAATTTATAATTGGTGAAATACAATGTTATATCTTATTGCTTCTATCCACAAATTACATTGTTATCAGTTATCACTTATCATCATAATCATAAATTATATCACATAAGAAGTATTAATACTAATCGTAGGTACAAACGTATTAAAATAATATAATTATACCTATATTAGTTTGGCTAAAAATGAAATTAATTATTCAAAATTAAAATAGGTACACTTTATTAAAAAGTAACGATTTTTTTTAATTCCTGGAGGGGCAATGCGTTTCTTATTTTTTTTGCTGTCTTAGTATAAAAAGTACTCTTATCTTAACTATTTATTCGTTTTCAATCTGCTGATTGCATCTTTTGTTTTTTGTTCAACAATAGTTGATGGAAGTTTAATATAAGTAAGTTTATTTCATTTTATACTATTTCGATTAAAGTTATCTAAAATTAGATCAATATATTATTTTTTTTATGATATATCTCAATACTTCTATTTTAAAAATGTTCTTAAGTTATACAATTATTACCTAGGAAGATTATCTTCCATTTTGAAAACTTATAGTGTAAGGCTGATGCCAGTAATACTTTCCCTAACTTTTAAGTTAATAAAGAAATAAGAATAAAGAAAAATAATGAATAAAACAAAATTATTTATTTTAGGATTGATTTTTTGACACAAAAAAATGTTTTGGTCAATTTTTTTGTATAATATAATTTTTTAGCAAGTAAAAAAAAAAAAAAAATATAATAAATCTTAATTACAATACAATTTTTACAAAACAAATTAATTTTAGAAATATACATTTTAGAAAATATTTTCATCATAATATTATTTAATATTATTAATTTTTACCGCAGCATTAACTATTCTTGAGAACTCAATTGTTGATAAAAATTGACTGACTATGCTTTTATCAACAACCTAAAATAGTAAGAAATCCAATTTAATATTTCAACAGTCTCTATTAGAATTTAAAAAAAGTGAACTTACTTCGAATGGTCTATTAAATGCTGTAACTGAAACATCAATAAATTTAGCGTCTGGTTCAGTGATAACGCACAGTGTCTTCAAAGCAAACTCTATTGTTCCTAAGATACTTTTGTTAGTAGCTGAATAATTTTCAACCAAAAAATTGGTTATCAGATCACTTTTTCTTCCTACGGCACTAGCCTAAATATATAATAAATCATTAATCTTATTATCACATAATTAATAACCATCAGTTACTATTTTTTTCAAATATATTATTAATAATTATTTTTATTTATTCAAAAGATACACATTCTATTTAACATAAAAATATGCAATTAGCGTAGATACCTATGTGGTGAAAGTAATGTTGACTTTAAGTTGCATGAGAAAGAAGACATCCACCAGCGACCTTTTCAACGGGCGTGGGCCGTGGGGGTGGGAGTATAATAATTGTTTCCTATTTAATAAGTAAACTATAATAATACTTACAAGAACATGTGATATGGTGCCATATGTGTCCGTGACATATAAATGATGTCCATTATTATCACAAGATGCAACCATGAAAGATTCAGTGTATGGCAAAGTTGGAAGATTATTGAGTACTCTGATTTCAGGATCTATTGAATAAATAAAAATTATTTTTCAACTATTTTATAAAATTTTTAATATAAGTAGAATTATTTTCAAAAAACCTAATACTTACTTGAAATTTTTTTTTTTAATAAGGTAGCTTTAAATAATTATTTTAAGTATGTTATAAACAAAATTGTAAAAATATAATTATTTTTCTAACAAATTTTAAGTCCATAAATTAGATAATATTTTATTATTACCAATTAAAAATTCTGTGACACGATCACCTGGTGAATTCAGTCCATGTACGCTGTTAGTATATATCTTAGCTTTGTCAACAATCATCATTGCACTAGATGAATATCCTAGAAACAATGTAATTTGATTGATTATTTATCAGTTAGTTAATAGTTTTGAGCCACAAAAAAAGTGTATAAAGTTATTTAAAATGCTAAGATATTTTCCTTTTCTTATTTTAATTATATTTGAAAAGAATATTTAATTTAGTAATTTATAAATTGACAATATTTAACGGTACAGGTACTTTTTAAATATCATAAAATCCATTTTATTAGAGTACTAACTACGGCACAAACATTAACTATATACTGTACATAGGTAGTCACATAGAAGATATCAATTGAAAATATTTTTTTATTGTGTGACTAATTTTATGCTATATTGTATACAATATACAAATCAATCGTTCAAAATAAATACACATTTTTTGATATTCACATAATATATATTATACACGTGAGTAGTTTTGATATACTGCATGTGGTAGGTATTATTCCTTTTTGAAAATTGTAAAATAATATGTTTTTTTTTTACCTCAATAGTTATTTTTAGATTCTGAGTGGAACGATGAATGTAGTGATTTTACAATGATGTGTGTATTTTTTTTTTTTTTTTTTTTTTTGTGTCTGTGTACACGATAAGTAGTCTAAATAATGCTTCGATTTTCAACTTCAGTATCTTGTTCGATTGGAAAGTAAATATCGTTGGTGCATTGGATTTGGGGAGGTCAAAATTTGAAATTCCCTGTAATTTTTAAAAGCGCCAAGAAAAACATTTCAATTTCTAATACCTATTTGTATCTGATTGGCATACTTTTAAATGTATTATTATATTATTTTTTATTAGGTTTACCTGACCAGGCGACAGTGATTTTACCATCCAGTGAACAAATAGTGTTTTGATTTTCAAAAAATTTTTCGGCAGCAATGACAATACAATTATTTCCAACTATGCCAACCTTAAAAGCAAACCAATTGTATTTATAAAATTTGAGAAAAATCATGCATGTCATAGAAACAAACAAGTTTCAAAGTTAACTTACCAAGTGGTTCCCGGCCATGATGCGTTCTTGCGTAGTTGTTGACATTTTACTACTTTATATCTAATGGCACCTACACCAACACGCGTAAAGTTAAGAATGATGAATGAAATTTAATTTATCAAAAACAGCTGTATAAAAGTTCTTATAACAAATTAAGTTGTAACATAGATGTACTCAAAATAAAACAGTGTTTTCACAGTATCAGATAATAATTATTTGGTTCCATACAAATTATTATTGATTTTTGAAGTAATTGGTAGTGGTAACAATTTTATATTTTAAATAGTTTTTAGATAATGTCATTGTTTTGTGCATTTAAATAATCTATTTAAGATCTTCCTTAAAGTTCAAATGAAAGACGTTATAATACAAAGGGATATGATGAACGGTAATATCGCCTGTTTTAATACATTTTATGTATGGTCTGTAATTCAGTAAACGAGTTTAAATTTAATCCTTTGGAGCAAATATTTGCACTCAGGGAAAGCTACAAAACTTTACTTTGAGTCGTTTGTTTTGTTGCGGCTATGGTGTTCAAAATTAAATCCAAATCTTTGAAAGTGATACAATAAAGGTGAAATACGAAGAAATTGAGCTTTATACAATATATACTGTAGGTAGTGAATTTATATTTCAACGGAATCTTTAATTAATTTCGCGTGTTAATCCGAAACAATTATTTTCTATAAAGTACATATTTTTATGAATCGTTAAAATATGTCACGTTGTTGGGTGTAGACATTTACCTATTATGCATTAATGTTAATCCATACCTAATTAATTTTTTTTTATGTTTAAATTAACATTTTTTTAAAACTGTATCACGTAATGTAATCGATAATTCAAAATCGTCCTTGGCCAACCACGGTAAAACACAGTTCACAGTTGTAATACTGTAATTATTATACACGGCGCACCGTGTCGTGCAAAAAAAACAAGCAGGTACCTACCTACCTACATATTTTTAATACTATAGGTAGGTACATCATACGTTTTTATAATGCATCATATAGGTACTTTGTCCCACACACGACACTATAATAGGTTTAACCGTATAGGTAGGTACTTATATTAGTTACAGATCAAATGCGAAATGCATATTGTTTTAGTGAAATTATGTATTATAATCGTTATAAACTAGTTTTATTTCTTATTCGGTCGTTCTTCGGAATAATTATATAGTGCCGGACTGTGGTTCTCGAGCTCATGGAAACTTAGGTACCCTAAATCCCACAAAATGTGAAGCTAAGATATTTACCTTGAGAAAATAAGTAAATCCTGCAGCTTTAGTACAAATTAACAACCAAGAATTCCTAGGGAACAACCCGGATGACTCAGTGAAAATACTTAGGAGTAGGTACATCTAAAAGAAAAAAAAACTTGGAAAATTCACATAAATAAAGAACTAAACCAAGAATACACAAGGATGAAAATCCTAACCCCCTATTGAACCACAACTCAACCCCGCAAGTGAAAATCTCACTCTACTATATATACGTCAATAATAAGACCGCTTCTATCTAAGTTATAACTTACGCATACCCAGTATGGGCTGCCACTTTAGTAGCGAAAATAATATATTGCAAATTCTCCAAAAACAAATTCCTAGGAATAGCACTCAAAGCTCCTTGGTTCATATGAAACAAACAGCTACTGCACAATGACACGGGATGTAATACCTATCGACATGGATAGGTAACCAATAAAAAAATGTGAGTACGGGATTGAAAGTTTCGAAAAAAAATATAATAACAACAGAATAGTAATAAGTAATAACTAATCATCATAAAAAAATGCAGTGATAGAAATGAAATAGAAATTTTACTATAGAATTATAAATAAGTGACTCATAAATATATCTTTAAAATAAAAATATCAATAAACAAGTGGGTATTAATTTCAAATTTTTTAACCCAAAGTATAAAATTTTATTAACATCTATGGAAAAAAAACCAAAAAAATGAAAATGTACGTAAACGGATCAAAACAAATCAAAATATTTTGAAAATTGTATGGTATATTATATAGAAAGTTCTAATATAAACATTGCGTTAAGATTTCATGTATCTAAGGTTATTTGTTTAAGAGTGACACCAAAAATCAAAAACGTTTTTGAAATTCCTGTTTTTCCTTTACTTTTTTTTTTTACTCCAAGCGGTTTTGAAAACTTCTAGGAATTTTGACCTCCTCAATGCATCAACTAGATTCACTTTTCCAACCGACAAGATACTGAAGTTGAAAATCGAAGCATTATTTCGATTGTTTATCGTGTACAAAGACATACATAAAAAAATAAATAAAAAAAAGCACATTGCAAAATCAATACATTCATTGCTCCGCTCAGAATCTAAAACTTCAACAATAATCTAAATAGTAAAATCAAAATAGCTCCATATTACAAAATCAGAGAAAATCAGAGAAACCTAGGCTGAAAGACACCTTCCTAGAAGACTACAACACAGCAGACAACACAAACAAATAAGATCATTTTTTGTTTATTCGCATGTTCATATTTTGAACAATTTATAGTACATTTAGAACTCGGTACAAACATTTAGTATTTTTTATTTTATTAATTAATTAAAAAAAAATAGAGTGCCGGAGTTGTTCGTTAAAAATAAACCTATTCCTTAAGAGTCGATAATATTATTATATCATAATATTAGTTTAATACTATGCTATGTACGGAGAAATGTCCGGTGCCCCGTGTTCACGGATGCAGAACATTCCATGGTAGGTTATAGGTACATGCGTTGACTATAATATATGTTAAACTACAATTTTCACATACATGATTTAACGTTTTTTTTTTTATTATTATTGGGACGAGGTACCTAGGTTCACCAATAATCGGTTGATTTCATAAATATCATTGCACGAATCATTAATTTAACATATATTATACGTTTGTGTGTATTTAATTAAAATCATAATTTATAATAGTAGGTATGTCATAACATTTTACTAAAAAGTAAAAAAATACAATAAAAAATAATGATTTAAATGGCCGTTGCAAAAATACATAAAATAATAATATGCTGTATCAAACGTGTGGATATAGCCTACTATAGGTAGTTTAATTTATTTTGAAATTAATACCAAATGAAATCAGTTCATACGAAAACATAATTAATTTTCTATGAAGTTCTGTATAGGGAGGAACAATGAAATAAAAATAGGGCACTAAAGGTTTAAAGATAACTAAAATCGATTTAAATTTAAATTAGATTTTTAGGTTTAATAATTATTACATATATAGGTATTAAATATTGTTATAGTATAAAATTGAAAAAAAAAATCGTGTTAACGCACGTTTAATCCATTATATTTTTATACAATAAAATTATTCATACATTTTATTGTTGTTAATAAATACTTTGAAAAAGTATTAATCCATTATATTTTTATACAATAAAATTATTCATACATTTTATTGTTGTTAATAAATACTTTGAAAAATTACATTTACTAAAATCTCCATTTACATTAATTTTAACCTTTTACCCTTTTATTCCAAGTGTGCATTTTCAAACGAACCTTTTCAATAAAGTTTGGATTTTTTCAATTAATAATGAAATATGTATTAGTTTTTATTTCGAAATGCAACTAATGGTTGTCATTGAAACTTCATATGTAGGTACCTATATATATATATATTTTTTTTTATAAAAGCTTTTAATTTATTTATATGCAAATTGAAAGTATAGTACTATAGTTTAATATAACAATATAAGTCAAGGAAAAACCTTTAAATTTAATATCCGGCTTAATCTTTCTACGTTATTAAGTTATATTTAAGTAGGTAGGATTATTATTGATATTTTTTAATAAGGGTCATTTTTTCATCATCGTTTTTTACTGTAAATGTACCGAAGTGAATCCCCCTAAAATTAATTATACATAAAGGTACCTAACTATTTACAGTTGAATAAACAAATACATTTATGAAAATGTTATCTTATATCTTAAAAGTCACATACTTACAATCGGGTCAGATAGATTT